TGCTCCTGATCCACCACTGAATTGCACAAGCAAACTATCTCCCAATTGACTACCCAAAAGGAACAATGAATTTCCAATAGTTGTAATGTCCTAAATGAATTTCAGCAAAATTCCCAACATAACCAGTGAATGGCTGGAAAATACTGAAAAAAAAGTACCTGCATTAGCATGAAAAGTCTAACAATTTAATAAGTACTGAAGCCATAGACTTGGAAAGATCAAGTGCCTGCACAACCCTTCAAAGGAGAAAAGAATAAATTAACAAACAAGCAGCAAAAAAAAACTTCCCCAATTGCATGACTACAGAGAAAAAAAAATGCACTAAAACATAACAAGAAGTCATATTTTCTTCTGTACTCTGCCAATAAATTACCAGTGGAAATACTTATTCAACAAAACTAGCTTTTTGTCTTTTCAAGTTCATTAATAAACTGCTGAAATGAATAACCAAGGAAATTTGAATTAAGAATAAAGGAGTTTGGAGGAGGAAAAACCATGCTTTAGAACAACATAGTAACAAATCAATAAAACTTAAGAAAGTAATGCTATCAAATATCTGATAGCAACATGGACATGCCTGCAACAGGATTCCTATTTTAATCTAACTGTTTTCAATGATAGGCCCTCACCACTGCCACTTTTGTGCATATTTAATGTTCACATCCTTTTTTTTTTATCAAAAAGACAACAGCAGTTTGACAATCAGCCAACAAAAAACCTATAAACCTTGTTAACTTGTGTTTTCTTTACAAAGCACCATGACCAACTCTGCCATGTAAAACAACGATTGTCTACCAATTCAATTAATTGTGACATCAAACCCAAAAAAGACCGAGTTATTGTTCTTCAGCTTAAAAGGAAACTAAAATACAACAAAATACAAGTGAAAATCCAAATGACAACCAAATGAAAACACTTACTGCCCATCATAAAGAAGGGTCAGCAGTAATAGTTCTCCAGTCTTTGTTGATAGCAAGGCTACATCATTTAGTAACCAAGTTGCA